GCCCCAACCTGTCCCTGCAACCCAGTGTCTTTCACACAAACCCACTCCACCCCAGAGGGGCAATGAGGCACAGAGAGGCAAAGGGACTTACCTAGCGTGTTAGAGAGTCAGAGATAGAACGCAGGAGTCCTGACTCCACAAACCCCCTTCTCTAACCACTAGACCCCATTCTCTTCCCAGAGCCAGGGAATAGAACCCAGGAGTCCTGGCTTCCAGCCCTTCTGCCAGAGGCAGTGCTCTCACCGTGGGGGGAGGCTCCAGATCCCCAAGTAAGGTCTGTGAGGCAGAGGGGTTGTTGGGGGAGCGGTGCTCTGTGCTGGGGGGATCACTTTCCTGTCCCCCCATGGAGGGGCTGGCCCCTCCCATGGCTTCAAGGGGGGCATCTGCACCTAGGGTTCAAATAGAAATAAGATAGGAGCTCCCCCACCAGCCAGTTTCCCTGCACAATCTCCAATCCAGGCCCAGGGCCCCCTAGAGAGGACAGGCCCTGTCTCCCATTCCCTGCCTCCCTCAGCCAGCCTGACCCTCCAACTGGGACAGGGCCTGGGGGTACGGGGGGCTCCATACTGGGAGCAGCCTCTCACTTGCTAGACTCAAGGAGGGGCCTGATGGGAAGGAGGGGGAGACAATACCCTCCCATGCCCTAGGAGAGACCCTACTACAATAACAAAGCACTGCCATTTGATTTTAAATCTACCATAGTTGCTAAGGATCCCTAAACATAGTAGAACCAACTACTCAGGAGGTCTGTGCACCCCAGTGCACTTATGCCCTTGTGTGGCTGCCAACCCCGCCACTCAGCCTCCTTCAGCCTTCTCCTCACACCATGCCATCCTGGGGGACCCCTTCAGTCCTGACACCCCATCCCTGGTGCTCTCCACCTACCCTGCTCAGCACGGTGCCTCTCCAGCCGCTCGTCCAGCCTCTGGCAGATCCAGTCCCCAAAATGCTGCAGAATCGCGGCCTCACGCCCGCTGCGCAGAGGCAGCGGGTACCTCCGAAGGGACCCTAGGGCCTGAAAGGGAGGAAACACTGACATGGGGAGCCTCCAGCCCACCCCACCCCCTCCCAATGTGGTCCTAGCTACAGGAACCAGGACTCTGGGGCTCTATCAAAGCTCTATCAGGGGAGTGAGGTCTAGTGGGTTAGATCAGGGGGCTGGGAACCAGGACTCCTGGGTTCTAGTCCCAGCTC